CATTCCATGTATCACTTGACCACGGCTCCCGAAAGGTAGAACGCTTACTTAACATGATCAGTATCCGATCTCGAGAACCAATAAAAGCAGCAACTGCTAACAGCAGCAACAATCAACTGCTTCTACGATCCGGAATCGGAGCGAAATGCACAGTGCGTCCCGAAACGGGTTGATCACTGCCGAGTGCTTCGCGCGTTTTCTTTGACATTGGCAAACTGAGGTCTTAGTTTGTATGGGGATTACTAAATTTGGGGTCTTGAGTATGCCCCCTGCTACAACACTTCCCTCCTCACACACTTGAAAAGACTTTGTCTACTCTCTGACACCCTGCACGGGTTTTTGTCCCTCATTATTCAATTTTATTCATTTTTACGTACCAGAGCGACATCTGGGAACCTATGTACCGTTTTCTTTCCTTGAAAGTAATTTATTTCAGGAAACGAGACGGCGGTGATAGTCGAATCGAATCAGCACCTTAAGTCGATGTTTCTGCAGAACATTGTTCGGATACACAGGTTCAACACTGATTATGCGCTCATATTCTTATTTTCTTCCTTTATATGGCTCGTGAGAATTCTCACCGACATGGCTGAAATCAATCCCTTTGCGGAAATGTGTAATAGTTGTGTTCAAACGTAGTCAAAAAATGTTAGAAGGGCACATTTGGTGCTTTGGGTGAATTGGTAAGTATAGCCAACCAACTGCAGCGTATAAAGGCATAAGGCACGATAAATCGGTATCGCTCAAAAATAGTAGCAGTGGTGCAATATGGTGGGGAAAAGGGCGAAAAAACGATGTTAACGGCTAGAAACAGGCGGAGCCTTTGTCTTCACGGCCTTGGACGAGCATTTTTCGGACGAGTTTCCCGTTGGGGTCGTGCCAACAATCGCTTTGGTAGATACGGCTGCACGTATGTATTCATATGTCTATGCAGCAACGCTTCATATCAATAGTACTTCATGAGTTGGGCGATAAGAGTGCCAGCGTCGATGTGACTGTACGGCCCTTTGAGGGTGGACAGTTGCGGTGGGCAGCTGGGTCGACATGTTGCATCTTCACTAGATGTGTCACTGTCATTTATCGTGTTACTTGCCTTCAATCTCTCGAGGGAGCCTGATGATAACAATTTGATCTCAAAAGAGTTGAAGTTCCGCTCGGAATCGGGAGATACATGGCGAGCGCTCTTGCCTGTCTATATCGTATATAAGGTAATTAAAACTTTAATTTAGTGACCATCCAGTAAAAATCCTGAACAACACCATAATGACCCTTTCGGACGAAGAATGCCAACAGCTGAACAAAACAGCAAAAATTGACAGTGTGGGCAATCGCCGGAACTGTCCAGGTAATGATTTTCATTTTATCCATATAGCTGTGAAACTTTAGCACTTTATAGTTAAAGGCAATGAGCACGATGACTGAGGGCGGAGGGTCTCTGCGTACGTCAGTAGAAGGTCTACGAGAGGACGTTTGGCTACTCCTCAGTCACACCTCCACCAATGACGTTGGCAGTAACCACCCGCCCCCAGCCATAGTGCCCACTGCCCTTAATTTAGAAATACTGGATGAAATAACCAGATAATGCGAAGTTTTCAAGCAACGACGAAATCGTCCACGGAATTGTTCGGCTGGTTTGAACGTGGAAACTTAGTGATTTCCATATTGTTGGCATCGGTTTATCGGCCATGGCAAAGTTTTCTGTGATCTCATTTTGTTCCTGGTTATTTGAGTGACAGTGAAGCTATTACCAGTTCATGTTTGTTTGTTATTTCTAGTGATAAATGATTGCTCAGATTGGACGCTTCTCTTCGACTACCTCTTTGGGGTATATTTATTCTACCCCTCTGAATCCTCGAATGCACAGTTGACACTAATCGTCTGTTCCGCATTTCAATAAAGACAGTACAGTTGATATCGTCGCAATCAGACGGGGCGGTCCCGAGGGGGATGGATTTAGCCCACTCGCCCACCCGCCAAGCTTTCACCTCTTGGGGTTTTCTTCCTGAAGATCGCTACCCTGTCACTATTGACAGAGCTAGACAGACAGAGGGGGGGGGTCGTTCCGCCCGTCCGATTGCGACACTGTCACTTACGAATCACAGTGTCTTTACCACGCTGCGGAATGCCCCCTTCCTATGGCGCTGAATAAGACGAGTGCACACTAAGGAAGATACAATAGGGTACAAGTGGTATGCGCGTCTCCGCCCATACGATGAGCGTAGAACGTGCATTCGAGCTTTATAATTGATATCGTCGCAATCAATTGAGGCGATGTCAGAAGGGACGAAATGAACCCGACTCCAAATATTTTTCAGTTCACCGACCCCTGTGTCTTTTCGTACCAGAAATGGCGGATGAAAAACTGCAGGAAAGCCACAAGCTCCGGCCAGGAAATCAAACACGGCACAACTGAGGCGAAGCCCTTCCCAAACGAAGCAAAGACAAGATTAAAGACTTCTCAATCTCCCAACAACCGACCAAATACGACCTTTAGTGGCCGGTGAAAACAAGAGAAAACCAACTATCAAAAAATTTTTTCCAGATCAAATAAGACCCCTCTTTCGCGCTCTAATACGACCCCCCCCCGTTGTGAATATCACAACGATGGCGTGCCCTGTCCCACATTTTGAAATAACCGAAAACGGCTGGAACTTGTGAGAACAATTCTTGCCTGCACCCGCGATCGAGAGCGCCTCACGACGACCTTTTTCTTCTGGCCGTGTCACTGGATCCTTCAGCATACCAGTGCTTCGGGGTATGGAAATACACATTTCTGAGAACGCATTTCAGTGATCTGAGGAGCTCGTACCGAGCAACAAGGATTCCCCCGTCAGCCGCGAGACCATATTCCCTTTGGGCATAGTTGTCAAGTTTTCACCAGGGTGAATGTGATGTACTAGCTTGGGCTTACTGACTTTTCGCTGAAAACAAATTCTGCACGGAAGAAGTTGGAGAGATTTGGAACTCTTGAGATCTCTAGCAGGTGAGAGAGAGGGCGCGGAGTTGTGTCACTCAGCAGCCTGTCGTGCAGTCACGACCGGCTTACCGGGTGCGCTGCAGCGTCCCATAGCTGTTTTCCTCCTAACAGATGGGAGATGCAGGTGGGAAGTGCGATCACCATTGTAGAGCAACGGCGCCGAAGAGGCTTAGGCGCGCTGCTACCTCAACGGCCCCCGCGACTACGAGTGGCGATGTTATATAAACTACTAAGTGAGCAGACGGCAAGAGAAACGTAAAATTTTCCGTTCCGAAGATACCGCCGCGCGCGGCGATGGGCGCGGCGCTTTCTTGACTCTTGTTAATAACGCTCGCTGCAAATGAGGCACCACACTTACATGTAGACCCCTTTCATCGTAACTTTCATGACTTATTCGCGTTCTGAAATTGCCTGTTGCTCCGTCCATCCACGTACCTGGGAACGACATACATCTCAGGTGACGACGTCGGCATGCGCGCTCAAGCACGCAGCGACGCGTGAACTTAGCGCATTCCTCTCTTGTCACTACCCAATTTTGTGGATTGCCACTGGACTTCCCTAGGTCATAGAGCACTTCATTTGCCTCGAAACGGTGACTACCGGACGTGCGGAGGCGTGCAGTAATAGGGTTATCACCTGAGCACTGCGAACGTTCCGCGATAATATGCAATCAAATATAGCACTTCGCTCCGACTGCATCAAATTTTCATCAGCTGCACAGTGAACTAAATTCTATGCACGTTCGTCGCAGCTTATGTTAATCAGCACCATTATCGTGGAAAGCGGGCGCTGGTTAGTTATAATACCTGATCAGTTTGGCTATGCGTTTCCGCACGTTCGTTGAAGATCTGTCTACAACAGAACATTTGGGACGGTACAACTCTATCACAGAAGGAAATTGTGCTGGCCAACTAAGAAGGGAGACCATTAGTGTGAAAATAACAATGGATTACGCGGTCAGTCGTGGAGATATCCTGGAAGATTCAGCTAACATTGCCGTTCTCCACAACTTTCAGTTCTTGGAAAATAGATTGGATTACCGGCAGTCGTGAGATATCCTGGAAGATTCACTCAATATTGCCTTCTTCACATTTCAGTTCTTCTAACTATAACAAGGCAAAAACAACGCGCAGGTGGTGTAACGACAAGTGGGCCGCCATGCACACGATCTGGGTATGGGGTCCCAGACATCCGTCTCATGATCAGTCGAGCCCTACATCCCTCCGGAGCCATTAAATCAGCTGCTAGGGTTTGCGGGGAGGATAAGAATGCTTGCTCGGATATCGGCTGAAGCCCACAGGTCGTGGCAGAGGCTCTTACAATGTGAACATTTAAATAGCGGTAGGATGTAGGGCGCATTTCAGAGAGGATTTGATCGAAGTCGACCGCTTTCGAAGCTTGTATGAGCTAGAATCTTAACACGGTTAGGTATCGAACTGGGACATATTTGTAACTGCAGAACATATCAGGAAGTTTTGAATAGTTTTAATAAAACCTGCCTCGGATTGTTACGCTTTAATCGGCTTCCGCTTACGTTTTTGTTTTTTCCAGAACCTGAAAACTCGAAAAGCATCCGAAAACTAAGAGGAAGTCGAACGTATTTCATACTGCATAGATCAGGAAGTTGTTCTACAAATTTATTTTAAACGACACGCCACGGGCTAATTGACCGCATGCGGTTACTAATGACAGCAAATGAAGTGGTAATTCGAGACCAGCGATTAGTAACTTTAACTACCGCCTCAGACAGCTCCCTGTTCTTGACGAGTCCAGTTATCGTCTCAGTTCATTTTCTGACTCATCGGAATTAAGTCCTGCCTTGGACTTTCTTGGGATATCGCCAATTTTCTCAATGCTGGCATAGTAATCTAGACGCACTAAAGTAGGAAGCAAGTCATTAATCAGCGGATCAGATTTCTCCCAGGTTGTCCTTTTCAGGCATTTCATCCTCTCAAGTGAGACAGTCCTCCGTCTTCGAATGAAAAGTGTTTCAGTATGACCTGGCACGAAAACTTCCTCACCTTTGATACAAGCTAACTTCTACTCGGCAAAATGCTGCTGGCACTTTTAGTTTGCAGTCTGCTGGGTAGCACTGATCAGCAGCTTGATGACGTCGGTGGGTTGTTAAACTTCGTTGACAACCTCGAAAATGGCATGGAAACAGTCTTCAACCGCTTTCGGTTGAAGTTGTAAGGCGGGATTCCAAAAAAGTGATTGCAGAAATGCGAAGTAAACTTGAAGTTGGAAGTTTCAAGTTTAATATTCAGAATGCGATTTCACTTCGTACATCGTCAACTCCTCAACGATAATGCCACTGACAAACCAAAGTTGCAACTACATCAACGGTTCTGTTCGAATAGGTTCGTGATAAAAGCGACCAGAAATCCAATACCATGAGAGGGTGCCAGAAAAAGAGTTGGAAATTTTTTTCGGGTATCTCTATGTTTAGGAAACAAAGATAAAACGAGAAAAAATGCGAATGGCTCGAATCAGGAATGAGTCTGCTCTGTTGAGTTGTTTCAGATTGTTTCCCAAAGGAAAATAGAGATTACACGCGAAAATTACCAGCTCTTTTTCTCACACCCTTTCATGATACATGTGATCAAGTTATACGGGCTTCCATCGTCTTCAGCTGCATGTCGGAAGGCCAGGTCATCGGGTCCAGAGCGCTACTTTCCAGTAGCAAAGTTACGGTAAGAGTTAACTTGAGAGATAGAGTCGACTTGTGACTGGGAAGAAACATTCCGTTCTTGGTCATCCGATGGAGTTATTATGGGGACTGAGTTGAGTTGAAGCGGCAGTCTCAAAGACAGTTCTCGCGACCAAATGATCTTTGAAATGTTACGGCACGTCACTGCATGCATTTGACACCTAGGTCCGCTTTCGCATAGGGTCTAAAACTTTCGTCGCTCGAACGGGCGAAATGAAGCGGCCACAGACACGTGACCCTTGTGAACTTTGACCCTTTGAGTCTTGCAAGGGAACAAATTACACGTTGAATTGCGTAGATGCATTCGTTGCCTGCAGCGTCGTAGGACGATTTCATATGTTCGTCGGAGAAAATCTTAGCCTGTCGATTCTTTTGCGAGCTCACGACTTCTCCTGCTCTCCCTGAGAGCGTTCTTGTTTTACGCTTCTTTTTTTAGTAATAAAGTGATAAAAGAGAGGGTGTTTGGCAGTAGAATATGCAATGGAACTACTTGTGAGCCGGGGGTTGCACAAAGGCCGCACGGTTTGACTTGCCAGCAAGTCTGAAGAGCTCGTACAATGAGACTGTGTGATTCTCACGGAGGGAATTCGTTTCAGACCAATGTTTTTTTTGCTTCTTTCTCAACTGTCAAGTCACTGTTCGGCTTTTTTTGGTTTATAAGTGCATGCCGATTACTCGTGATAATTGATCGCGGGAATTGTTTATGAGGAGAGTATCACTGGGATAGACCTCCGTTTTTGCGTGGTTCCGAACATTCCAAAGAGAGAAAATTAAAAATAGTAAGAGAAGGGGTATATTGAACTAAATCACAATATAAAGGCCTTCCTTATTACACTTGATTTTAAGGAAGAGGCGAAAGTTTGTCGAGTCGTCGGATGGGAGATCAGACAAAAGTGCCCAGATCGCCATGAAAACTTGTCAGGAGTTACTCAAAGACACATGGTACGCTCAAACACATTGAGAGTTATGAGACTATCAGCGCTCCGCTGTCGATGTTGTCGTGACTTGCGTACCGACCTGAGCGTCCGTGGTATGCGCCGTAACAATATCATGCTCCATTCGTCATCGTACCGTATCCATCAGTTCAAACGATGCTGCCGACAGCTCAAACGATGGAAGAAGCTGGAAGCGCGGGAAGCTACTCTGCTTCTCTATACTCAGCCCGCGCGACCCGCCAGTCCTCAGTTGTTTCGTCATGTCTCTTCCTGCTGAGCGGCTGGACTCTCCATCGTCTCATCCCGGCCGAATGGGCCGTTATGCTACCACGTCACATCTTTCCTACCGGTATGTTGTGCTGTTCTAATCATGCCTTAACCTTCTCCACATTGTTCTCATCTATTTTGGTAGTACTATGTAAGTCATTTTATATCATTGCCGTATAGTGTAGTTCACATGATATTGTTGATGTGTGTTGCAATAGTCTTCTGTCATGTAGCAATAGTCGGCACAAACTATCGAGTTACATATTATTAGTCTTTCTATTCTATCAACATATATGTAGTAACTAGTTGGGGTTAGGCCTAACATGCCCGTGGCGGGCCGCGCAGGTATCTGCCCCTTGCTGAGCATTCCATCCGCGCGACACAACCCCACAAAAGGGTGTGGGCCCTTCCAATACCCACGTTCTGCGTGGTCGGGTATGGTAACCGCCGATTGCATCTCACCTCTCTAACACTCAGCTGTTCGATGTCAGATGTGTCGTGGTCCCCCCGCCCAAAACTGCACGGGGTCAGAGTACGGGGCCGTGGGAAAGTCGTAATTCCTTGCTACACCGCCCTCACGTTTATGCTAACACCATCCGCGCGGCGCGGTCGCGTGCAGCTCTCTTGGCTTTTTGCCAAGTCCTGTAATTGCGCTTTGGAATACAAGTACAACGCAATTTCTTTATGCGGATAACATTTTAGGTGCTGCAAAATAAGAACCGAAGATGATGACAAGGGCTAGAACTCAAGAGCAACTGTGGTGCTTCTGCAATATCCCTCAGAGGCCGCGCATTCCCACAGAACATGACAATAAAACATGACAATACAAGCAAAACGCAATTTCCTAACATTTGAGGTATTGCTCATGCTTCAAAGTCCGAATAGAAGGTGATGAAGATGACAAAGGCTAGAAATGAACAACAACGAATGTAGATGTAAATAAAACAAAATTGAAAAACTAAGGAAACGCAATAAATTAAAATCGCGTGTGCATTTCTGCGATCCGGCTCGAATCCGGCTCTAATGCTATAGAAATACTTCAAACTAACGAGTGGGACGCTTAGGCCGTTTTATTTTGATGTTTTGTGGGAATGCGCGGCCTGCGAGGGCTGTTGCAGAAGCAGCACAGTTGCTCTTGAGTTCTAGCCCTCGTCATCATTCAGTTCTTATTTTGCAGAACCTAAATGTTATCCCGCATAAAGAAACGTGCGTTTTGTACTTGTATTCCAAAGCGCAATTACAGGACTTGGCAAAAAGCCAAGAGAGCTGCACGCGACCGCGCCGCGCGGACGGTGTTAGTAAAACGTGAGTTTGCGAAACGGGCGGCGTAGCAAGGAATTACGACTTTCCCTCTGACCCCGTGCAGTTTTGGGCGGGGGGACCACGACACATCGACAGCTGGGGGGCTGATAGTCTCATACACCCTCAATGTGTTTGAGCGTACCATGTGTCTTTAACATCCTGGTTACGAATATGACATTCCTGGCGCTAATGGAAGACACTACGATTATCTTCTGGGCTCAGCCTTAGCAGGCGCAGATAATCGTAGTGTTCTCCATTAGCGCCAGCGCCAAGAATGAATGTCATATTCGTAATCAGGATGTTAAACTACCCCTGCATACAGTTTTCTACGGATTTGGTGATTCAGGCACTTCATAAATTAGCCAGCAGGTAAAAGTGAGCGCGTTAGTCGACAAGGGGGTAGGGAAGGGAGAGCTCACGCGTGTGCAAAACGACAGACCATAGCGCAAGAGGGAATCATTTCCGCACTGGGGGAGCCACTTGAGCAACATTGACATGTACAAATTTCAAAGAAATCGAAGGTCATCGCCCATATTACTCCAGTTTTGTGGGTGGATGGGGATCCTCTCTTTGAAAAATAGTGAAGGAGTGCGAGGAAGCTGAATATTGGGAAGGCGTTTTTATGGTAGACTTAATATTCTGCTCAATCGGTGGTTTTAGATGGGTCATCGAACGTGACATATGAGCAGCTCGTGGAAGCGTTCCACACCACTGAAACCATCGAAGGTTCACTGGAAATCGTGAACACGTCCTTCAAGAATCTCAGCTTTTTCAAGCGGTTACGGCAACTGAAGCCTCGTTCAACAGAAGGTGTGTCTACGTTTTCAGATATGATGATTGAAGTATTGCCTGAACCATAATTTTACTTTGTCTAACGTCTCGAACGCGGCCCGCAGCCCTCTTTTTGTCGGGAAGATTGGTTGGTCCTCAGATTCAACGGGTATAAAGCTCGGAAGCGCTCAAAAAACACCAAAAACATCTCCGCAAAAGCATTTTTTCAGAATCTAGAACAAGAAACCATCTATTTTTGTACCCATTCTATGCCATAAACAACTGAGGAAATATATCACATAACATTTGTCCTAGGATATGACCTGTTGATAGCGAACAACACCAAACTGGAGTCGATGGATGGTGTACTCCTGCCGTATGATCAGGAAGTGCGCATTTTGGACAATCCGCTTCTCGTAATGGATTGTACACATGTTTTGACGTACTACAGTATAGTCAGGAGAATACGCGGAAACAAGAACAACTGCGGTAAGTAAAGCATTAGTTTCCGCGTGTGAAAGCGATAAAGTTGAAAGAGAGAGGGTAACGACATAAAGTGAATGAGCTGTGAGGGTGACTGGCGGCTCAACGGATAGCGCGCTCCCCCTGCAAGCGTGATATATGAGTTGGAGTCCGGTCAAGACGCTTTTATTCCTAGAACGAGGATTGACCTGCGGAGAACAGTCTCGACAATGTCTTGCCCCTTCCACCCCATCCACGCTCCACCCACAACGGATCTGCCTCGCACTTCTCAACCGGTGACCCATCACTGACATTAATCGGTTTTTTCCCGGTGTCTGGAGTGCTCTGGAAGCGTTTTACGAATTTTTTGGTTTGGCTCCGCCCACCTCTGCACACGCTCCGCCCACAACGGTGTATCTTGCACTTCTAAACGTGGACCACTTGGGACCATAACTTTTTCGCGTCGTCTGTAGTGCTCTAGGACCAAACTACGTTTTTTAACTAATACCTTACGTTTGAGGTCACGCCCCTCCCACTGTGGGCGGGTCACAGCACACCTCAGATATGACGGACTCTCCACAGATGTTTGTCTTCGTGGACTTTTTTGCAATCTCTAAACTCTCTCGGGGACCGAGTTACCGACATTTGTGGGAAGCACCGCCCATCTCGAGTACGCCCCGCCCATTTCGAAAGTGTCTCCTCCATTTGATGGACCAACCCTTTGCCAACCTTACTCCACTTTTCCTCCATCTCGTTATTATATATAGTGGGTGATAGGGAGCTGTAAACGTATGCGAGATGTGCATTGATGAAAACCTATTGTAAGAAGGAAGGTATGAAGGATTTTGTTTCAGGGTGTGAACTCGATGGGCGGCTCACACAAGAATCCGTGCTTGCACTGGACGATAACTGCCCGCTCATCTATGGCGATTTCATACTTACCTCCGACGACACTCCAAGCTATGACACTTTAGTGCGAAAGTTTGCCACAGCCACTCGACTTCTTGGCCAAGTTGTCGTGATAGGCACCGACTTTGCTGACTTAGGCTTTCTCGAAAATGTGAAAGGAATGGATTCTTATTACGCCACGAATGGTAACCTTTTCATTTTAAAATTTGTGATGTGGCGCAGCACTCGCTGTGGAAGAACAACGTAGGGGTCGTTGTTTGGTTACTGAGGAGGTGGTCGTAATTGCCGTCGAGAACACTCTTTCTATATGTTGTTTTTGAACAGTGTGCTTGAAGCTCTTGACTTGTTTAACAATTTATTGGCAAGCTTTCGGCATATAATGCCTTCGTCAGGCCTTAAATTACAATTTCAAACATATGAAAACTACAGCGAACAACGCATAAAACCTTACATACCAGCGCGTTGAGGGGGACGGACCTATCGGCGGGGTGACAAGGACAGTAAATGACCCGCGCTATGACATTGAGACAAATGGGTGGTCGATGATTATGCGATGAGTCTCAGAAGGTCACGTAGCTCCTCTTTTGCATTGATCTCTGGCTTGAGGCGGCGTATCTCCCGAGCTTCCATTATTTTCCTCTGGAGCGGCCGTACCATATGTCGATGCAGTACACTCACATCGAAAGATGGAGCGTTCTCATTTGCGTGTTTAAGCGTACGGTGCCTTGAGAAACTACTTCGTGGATAAGCTGCGGGGTTGTTCAACGCTCTCCTATGCTCGTCCAGACGATTTCTCAAAGGTCGTGCTGTCTCCCCCACATAAGTTTCTCCACATCCTCTGCATTGAATCAGGTAAACAGTGCCTTGAAGTTCACAAATCTTTTCGGATGTACAGTATCGACAAGATTCTTCGTGGCACCGATTTTCATAAATCCTCGAAGATGTGAGGAGGGTTTTCAGGGTTGGGGGAGGACGAAAGACGAGACGAATGGGAAGTTGGGAGTTCTTCACGTAGTAATTTAACGCTGGCCGAACGAAGGGGAGTGAAGAAATTACTGCAAGCAAGAAGAACATTGAGGTACACGGTCGGAGATAAATGTGGTTCATTTGTCGTAATGCCTCAAACGATGGATAAGGCCCTCACCACCCAAGTGCTCTCAGATAGAACTGTTTATGAAGAGAGCACCTTGTCAGCATTCGAGGCAATCTGCAGACGAGTGAAGAATGTTATCATGTCAACAGTGAAAGGGCGTACAAGTTCGGAAATGGCAAAGCGGTTGCATGGTTCGGTTCCAACAGTGCCCACGCTCTATAATCTGGTGAAGACACATAAACTTCCATCAACGGAAAGCACAATGTCGCTCCCGTTAAGCGCAATCAAAACGAGACCAATTATTGCATCATGTGGTGGTCCAGCGGACAGACTAAGTTGGCTTCTGGTACAACTTCTTTCACCACTGTTGCAATACGTGGGAGCACACATTGTGAACGTTGATGAATTCATCTCGTCTCTTCACCAGTGTCCAATCCAGACGACAGCCTTCTACGCAAGCTTCGATGTAGTTGCCTTATATACGAATGTGAATAATGCGGATGCAGTGCAAGCTGTCTTATCCCTTCTTGAAGAACACCAAGATCACGTCTCTACAATGGGATTCTCCGCATACGAAATAAAGGAACTCATTGAAGTTGCGCTGGAATGTAATATTTTCTGCTTTGATAACAAGTTCTACAAGCAGAAACGAGGCTTAGCCATGGGTAATCGTATAGCTCCTGTGTTAGCAGTGATCTTCTTGGACCACATTGAGAAGTCATCATTGTCAAGTGGAATCTTGTTTTACAAGCGTTACATTGATGACGTGTTCGTTATTGGAAGAACGGAAGAGGATCTTGTGGAAACCTTGGAGAGACTGAACTCACACGACAGGAATATAACCTTCACCAGAGAAGATCCAGGGAGTGACGGCTTTTTGCCGTTTCTTAATACGAAAGTTCGGATAGTGAAGGTCGAAAGGAACACCTGTGGTATAAGAAAAGTGCCTCGTCGAATATACTATTGCATTCCAGAAGTGCGCACCCGATTTATATGAAGGCAAACGTCGTGCGTAACTTGGTCAGAACGAAGGAGAAGCTTGGGACGCGTAGGGATTCAGATGTGGACGCGAAGGTCCAAAACATCCTTGAAAGCAACGGATATGTCGAAGTGCCTTTCAGGACCTGGTGCCCACACACGTCACCTGATGGAATAACCTTAATGATGCCTTTCGTTAACGACAAAATGGCACGTCAGGTGAACCGCGTCGTGAAGAACTCCCAACTTCCCATTCGTCTCGTTTTTCGTCCTCCCCCAACCCTGAAAACCCTCCTCACGTCTTCGAGAATTTATGAAAATCGGTGCCACGAAGAATCTTGTCGATACTGTACATCCGAAAAGCTAGAGAAAAGTTTTCCCTTAAGAGATTTTTTTCACGTGCGCTACATACGATCCTTCCCCAACCCCACGCTATTGCTCAGGTATGGAAGTTGAAAATATGGCTTCGAGGAAGTGAGGTCCGCGACGCACAACCTAGTACCGCTTTCGCGCAAGTATGTAAACGAGAGTCGCTATAGAGCAATATAGGTTCAGTGACGCCTATTCTGTTCCAGTAACCCCGCCTCCGGGACCCGGGCGATTCTATCGTCGGCAAGACATTTCGGCGTTGCGTTACCGTTTTCCCGAGTTGTTACTGGAGCAAGGGATTAGCGTTGTTTCAAAGGTAACCTCAAGAGTAAGAGTAATAGTCAATAATCATAACAGGAAAGGAAATAGGATAGGAAAGACATAATAGGAAAAAAAGATAACCAAAATTGGATGAAACCAAAATAGGATGACTCTTTCAAATTGTTAAAGGGATCGTCAACCCTTTAACAATTTGAACGCCGCGCAACAGAACTCGTACGCGGCGGCCGCCACGCCGCCGGCTCCGCCCACCGGCGCGACGACCCACTTATCGTCGACGATAGAATCGCCACACACCCCTCGCCTCCAGACTCCACGTTCGAGGCCCGCCTCTCAGTGAAAAACGAACCTGAAAAAGCATGAAAATCGTCACTTGTAAGGTCGTGGAGCTCTTATCGGGGAATCAGCTGTGCGAATGAGGGCGTAGTGTTGGGGATGGAGAGCACATACAACATGGGATCGGATTAGGATTCTATTTAGGGCAATTGGTGTGCTTTCTTTCTGCTTTTTTCTCCACTATCGAGTTAGTTTTAGTTAGAAACTTGTCGTCTATATGTAAACCCCTTAACCTTTATCGATGGCGAATGATCGCGGAATTTGCCTTCAGAACGGGCTGAAGATCTGGGAAATAGATGGGAAGTTTTGTGGTTTTGCTAATGTACAGGCGGGTATTGAGATGCTGAGACACCGTCATACGTTCCCATGCCCTGCACGCCTCCACCTTCACCCTTTTCCCACTGTGCGACAAAATTTTGTGAACATTCGTTGTGAATTCATAGTGCAGTCATACTAAATTCGGCCATACAAAATGGGAGAATTCGTGGGAGGTGTATACCGTACCGTCCGCCTCGGATGCGCGGGCATTTCAGAAGCGGGTTTGGCGCGGCTCCCGTCCGTTCTCTACCAAATGTTGAAGTGCCCAGGCGACAACAATTGATGGAAAACGGGCTGGCGCTGCGCCAAACCCAGTTCAACTGCTATGTCCCAGAAAGAGCAGCAACAATCACCTGTATTTACCCAAAATTTTACGCAACGCGAGGTTCTACCTTGGTTGCGACATTAATATGTGCTATTGGAAAGCCACCAATTCGCGTTCATTTCAGAGATGTATAGCGAAGAGTATGTCCGAATTGCTAACAACGACAATCTAGAGCGCCTGAACTGGACCATGCTCACAGTATGTCACATATTCAGGAAAGTACAGTGCAAAATTGGTGTTGGTCTGTGGTCATTGTCCCTGCGAACGATAGGGTGTCCAAAGGGGCGTGAGTTGGATCGCAGCCAGAAGAGCCCTTTCCATCCATTGCCGCGGACTCAGGATGGCATGACTGATAAAAATGTCGAGTTGGCAGCTCTCCAATCCACTCCCGTTAAACGCCCCATAATTTGCAGGGATCATGACTGCGTTCTACTGGGCATTAGCAATCGTGGGGAGGAGGGAGGCAGTTAACGTGTCGACCCATCTAGACAACCTCTTCTCGAGTTGACAGGTTTTACCATGATGGCTTGACGAGCTTGCTCCAGCTTCACAAGAGTTCACAGGTTTCACCAGAGTGAGACTTGTAAACCGGAACTAGTGAAGCAACGAAAGTGCAAAATGCCCCCTTCCCGTCGCCGAACGGAACCGCAACCGTATTCCAGGAGTCCTTTAGCAAATTTGAAACAGTGTCATCCAGCAGAAAGATCAAGGGGCGCAATTCGGCGACAGGGAGATGGGGGGGGGCGCGTTTTGCCTTTCACTGCTCACTACTTCCGGTTTACAAGTCTCACTCTGGTGAAACCTGTGAACTCTTGTGAAGCTGGAGCAAGCTCGTCTAGCCACCATGGTAAAACGTGTCAACTCAAGAAAAGGCTACCTAGATGGGTCGACATGTCAACTCAAGAAAAGGCTACCTAGATGGCCCGACACATCGATGGGAAGCAACCTCTACCCGTCGCCGAACAGCGCCGATCATGGAGAAAATTGAGTTCAGACCATCAGAAGCCAACGTTAGGGATCGCCGTACTTTGCAAAGGGGTAGGACGTGAAATATGTTGAACTAGAAGGCTGCTCATCCTCTCATCCATTTGTGTGGGCGGCGCAGTTCGGCGACGGGGGGAGGAAGGGGGTTGGGGGG